AGTAGCTGTGACTGGCAATATCAGAGGTATAACACAGAAAGATGGAGTACTCTCTGTGTCAAGGTGAGAAGAAAATGGTAGGCAGGTAATTTATATCTACTTAGGAAGGTGGGGTAGGACTGAGTCATTGTCTTGTAAGAGTTCTCCAGGCTGTAAACATGCTAATGGAGGAGCTTTCCTGAGGAGGTTCTTTTGTATCTGGATTGTTTCCTGAGGAGGTTTCCTGTTTCCTGAGGAGGTTCTTTTGCATGCGGATTGGCTGTTGAAATTCTAATTTTTATCTGTAGTGCTATTGTCAGATGTAGAGCCTTTTGTATTTTCAGGACAGGAAACCATGCCCTATTTATTTTTAAACTCTCTTCTTTCCTGTTGAATTACACAGCGTAGCATTCAGACAAGAATAAAAGAACATGAAAGACACTGCAGACTCGGCCAACCTGAAAAATCAGCAGTGGCTGAACATAGCCTAACTCAAACAGGACACAGTATTTTGTTCCAAGACACTGAAAAGCTGGACATCCAATTACCATGTCAGATTACACAGGGAAGCCATTGAAATTCATAAACATAAACACAATTTCAACAGGAAAGATAACTCACACTTTGATAAAGACCCTATCCACTCTAACTTTATCAATACCATCATCCAAAGGTATACCATCCCAGATGACCTCCTTAGGGCATCAGCTGAGAACACGCAATTTAGGGATTGGATATATGACACCATCGTGCTCTAATTCTGGAATCCAAAGTGGCTCCCTGGCATAAATTCTGTAAATTGGACCATCGCAGATCAAGCTACTTAGTCAACATCTCCAACTTTAACCTTAGAGTTCCCTTTACAGTCTCACGATTTCAATCTATGCAAACAGCACTTTTGGCTGGCCACTATTTGCATACTCCAAAAAGAGGACTGTCTCTGCATATGTGGCCTGTCAGTGGTGGAGGACCTTCCTCGCTACATGCTTTACTGTACATTATATAGTATCCCAAGAGAGAAATTTCTAACAGGAATCCTATCAGCTATGCAAATATACACAGAAACTGAGAAGATTACATTCAGAAACTGAGAAGATTACGTTCCTGCTCTCAGATAATGATGCATATGTATCTTATAGAGTTTCTTTGTTTGCTTTAGCAGCATCCAAAATTAGATCTAAGGGGCTGATTAAATCTGTTTTAGCCTTTTTATTAGCACGATTTGTAGTCAATTTTAATCTGATTCTAATGGTACTAATTTTTATTATTGCTATAGTGTCTTTTGTATTTTGTAATGGCCAATGACTTAATACAATACATTTACTTGTACTTGCCCCTGTATAAATCAATGGTGCGACCTCATTTAGAGTACTGTGTACAGTTGTGGTCACCACACCTCAAAAAGGATATTATAGCATTGGAAAAAGTGCAGGAAAGGGCAACTAGAATGATCAAACGGTTGGAACACTTTCCCTATGAAGAAAGGTTAAAACGCTTGGGGCTCTTTAGCTTGGAGAAACGACAGCTGAGGGGTGACATGATCAAGGTTTATAAGATTATGCATGGGATAGAGCAGGTTGAGAAAGAAGTACTTTTCTCCCTTTCTCATAATACAAGCATTCGTGGGCACTCAATGAAATTGCTGAGCAGTCGGGTTAGAACAGATAAAAGGAAGTACTTCTTTATCCAAAGAGTGATTAACACATGGCCTTCACTGGCACAGGAGGTGGTGGCAGCTACAAGCATGGACAGCTTCAAGAGGAAATAAGATAAGCATATGGAGCAGAGGTCCATCAGTGGCTATTAGCCACAAGGTATAGATAGGAACTCTCAGGCTGGGGCAAATAATGCTGGGGGGGGCAACAGTGGGAGGGTTTATAGTGTCCTGGTCCCACTGCTGGACCTCCTGATGGCACCTGGTATTTTTGGCCACTGTGTGACAGAGTGTTGGACTAGATGGGCCATTGGCCTGATCCAACATTGGCTTCTCTTATGTTCTTATCTTCTTATTGCTGTGAATTCACTGGTCCAAACTCAGGATAAGCTTGGTTATGTTATCAACAGAGGGTCTTGTTTCAGGGTCTCGGATTCAAGATGGGGGAACAATTCTCTCCGGACAAGGCGAGGCAGCCTTGCCCATGACTGACATTCTTACATGTAATGGCTTGGATCCAGTGGAGTTTATCTTCAGTGCAAAGATTACCATTGTGGACCATGACTTTATCATCCCCCCTCTGCCAGAAATAGCCCTCAAAGTGTTTCCTGGGGATCCTCTGCCATGGGTGGAAAATCTTGAACTGTGGAGAAACTCTGGTGGGTCCAAGACATTGTAGAAGATATAAAATATAAAATGCTTATGCTTAGTTGGTAAAATTAATTTTCTTCATATTCAATAGTTACTGATGGGCATCTTTTAAAATGGCACAGGGGGAAAGAAACCCATGAAGAGGCTCCATTTTTAAAATCATGTGGGGTAGTGATTGCAGAAATCTAGAACCACACAACTGCAGGAACAGAGACATCCTATATAAACTGGTAATCAGCCCAGATGTTACAGAAGAAGGCACTGGTATGTGAACATTGTTATGACATTCTTCGTTAACAATTTATTTCTATGTCATATCTTCTACCACTATGAACTCACTTGTATTTAGGCATTTGAGGGGTGCCTAAACAAGTATGTAATCTCTCCATTGAAATTCCTTATTCTGATATTCTGCATTTAGAAGCCAAAAGAGTTTGGCAAACAACAACTGTTTAGTAGGACTGTTTGTGTGTATAACAGAATGCTTGCTTCTCAGATGACAGCTGGGGAGAGACTTTAATGTATCATGAAATATTTGGTATCAGCAACTAATCTCACAGGACTGGGGATACAAGACCTTCATTTCAGCCTTAGAGCATCTGAAGCTGCAGACAAAAGAAAAAGATGTATCTCTGTATATTTATATCAGTATCATATCTGCAACAAACGGTAGTCTTGTCTCAGTAAAAGGGACTGTGCTAGCTAACTTAAATCTATGCTCAACTTTTGTACTGAAAGAGGCAGGTCAATGTGAGACCTGGTATGATAGTCTTTGAAATGTCACAAGGTGCTATTTAAAAACTGGGTCAGTTCTGGAGGAAAGGAGCACACAAGAAACAAAAAACCACTGCACAGTTTCATGGAACAAATGATGACATTTCTTGGGGAAAGAAATACCTCTAGTTTTTGTAACTGACATTTCTCAACCTCTTCATCTGTTCATTTTGATCATAGTTCAATCTGATAAATGCTTCCTCATGCTTTTGCTTTCAACAAGCCACCTTAGAAGCTGGAGCAACTTTCTTTCTCAGACATTTGGAAACCTTGCCATTTGATCTGTTTCCTGATTTATTACAGATTTCTAATGTCCTGAATCTCTCTCCTCTCTTTCTCTTTGGCAGACACATATCAGTCTAACCAGAATGTGCAGTGACTATAAAAGAAGAAGTTTTCAAGAAGGGCAGTACATTATAACACTCCTCCATCATCTGATGAATGAAGCAAGTTGTTACAAACATACAGATTCTTAAGTAAAGTTCCACAAAACTTGTGAGCCATCAATCTGAATGCAGCCCATCAGCTGTGAAGTATCCTTGACAGATGCTCAAGGATCTCCATGTTCAGAGTCAGCAAAAACATTTATGTAGCCCCTAAGTCAACTGAACCTGAACGAAAAAAAATTACAAAATAGTTATTTTCCAAAACTGGAACCGAACCTTAATCTTTATCTGAAACATTAACCAGAACTGGAATGATTCCTTTCCAGAGTTTCTGATAAAAGTTGCATTAATCCTTGCATCATCATCACCACCACCACCACCATGGCTAAGAATAATGAAGGTGTCCTGTAGCCTAATGGCAAAGCAAGACCCAGAATGAGAAAATTCCATCAACCCATTTGAATCCTTACACTGCCATGGAAACTCACTGGGTGACCTTGGAACAGCCAGTCTCTTTCAACATCACCTACATCACAGGGTTGCTGGGAAGATAAAATGGAGAAGGGGAGAATAATGTTGGAAGCTTTTTTGGGTCCCCGTTAGGGAGAAAAGTTGGGCATAAATGTATAAACTAAATATATAATAAGGAATTTTATCCATCAGGAACGATTCATATTCCTAGCCACCAGCCACCTAACCACCATTTTTTTTCTGGTTTCAACTTCAGTTTCTTTGGACTAGATACCATGGAGGATTTCTGTGACTGAAAGGAGGAGCCAGGCCCATAGCCAGGATTTTTTTTTAAGTTGGGGGGCATTTAAATTTCTTAGGGGGCACTGGCTAATCAAATTAAAGGAATACCTGGTCCCTTCCCTGCACCTGTCACCACTCAGGGGTTCTGGACTAGATGGGAAGTTATGGGGCCTTGCCACTAAGTGAGGGGGCCTAGCCCTGACATACCCCACTGTAGCTACAAGCCTGGGAACAGCCTTTGCCAATTTCCTCTCATACTACAAACCTCTGATGTCTACCCCATGCTGATCCTGGAGGTCACTTGTCCACCAGGATCAGAATTTTGGTCTGCAACAGGAGAGAAAATGTGAGGAAGGTCCACTCTATGAACTCCGTTCCATCAGAGAAAATATTTTGCCCTCATTTAGATTCCTGAAGTTTCAAGAGAGTCACACAGAAATGTAACAACTGCTCCTATATTCAATTCAGAATTGAAAATAGAACTGGGCGTCATCTACTTGTTGATGACAAACATATAAATCCAAATCTTGGAATTCTCTGTTGCCAGCAGTTTCATATACATATTAAAGAATAATTTAATACCTGCTCAGCAGCTTGAAGAGCTGTCATCTAACCACTGCAAATCTAGTTCTGTTGCCAGCATATCCTAGTCCTCCCAGACCTGATCAATTTATGTTAAGTTCCTTTTCATATCTTAACAACAATCATTCTCGATACTTATAAACTCACATGGAACATACCTATTCTCCAGCTACCACATCATATGAACCATATATGCAGGTTGGTTAAATTAACTCACTCACTGTATTTGTGGAGTTTCCATTTAAATGTAAACCACTGTCAAAGAGAGGGGAGGAAGCACCACTGCTGTGATCACTGGATGGTCCAGGAGAACCTGAAATGTGGCATTAAAAAAGGTGCTTTATATTTGTTATACTATATTAAGGGGACAACAGATAAACAATATGGTTTTTTTTTTTAAATTGCAGTTAATGTGAAAAAGTTAGCATCCAAATACATTTAATTGTGTAGCCATAAATTTTCTAACAAAAAAATAGTATGCAAGAATAGAGTAGTTGACTGTATAATAAAGCTAGTCTAATGTTAATAGTATGCAAAAATGAGCTGGATGGCAATATAAAGTATTATTTCCTTATTGCTTTAAACATTTTTTGCAGTTGTATTCATGTGTTCCCTCAAATTATCAACAGATATACATGAAAAGTATGTAGCATCAAACGTATTAATTTATTTTATTTTCTGTCTTTTGTATTCCCTGGGGCTTGAGACTGGTTACAAAGCTAAACACAACAAAAACAGAAGGCTCAAATACATATACTCTCACCCATTTTACAAGTTAGTCAAAACAGGAAACTATTCCAGAAGGCATAAAGCCAACATTTAACAGAGCTAAGGGAAAACCTCCAAGAATGCCTGTTTACATGCTTTTTGGTGTTCAGAACTGGCACATGGACAGCACTGTCCCCATTATATTCTTGGTTGGTCTCAGAGAGGTAAACCACTAATGGCTTTAAAGCTCAAGATAAACCTATATCTTGAATTGTAACCATTAAGTGACAGGGAAACTAGAGCAGATGCAAAGGAAAATGTGACAATTTGGAACATTCTACCTTTAAGGTACTTCACCTGTGTTTGGCTACTACTCTTTCCAGCTCCCTGCTGGAACATAATCAAGTATAGCTGTAATGACCTCTATTATTCTGAAGACCAACTCATTATAGACCAACTTAACTGGATCTATGTTCCCAGAAGTTATAAAAAATTACAACTATGTTATTTTGGCAGCACAAATAAAGGGATAATCCAGCATGTATACTGAAAGATGATCATCACAGAGGTCACGTGATCCTAGACTCCACCTAAAGGGACATCTTTGATGTTTATGTTAAAATTCTACCAAGCATCATATATTTGGTGTTAGGAAATATTTTAGCAAGTATTCTTGACAGACCACTATCATTCCATGACTTGGTTGAGGAGTCTCTGGATTGTGTGTATAGTAATCAAATTGTTAAAGAATTGACTCTAAATATTCATCTCATGTTACAGCTGGCTAGTTTACTCATCTTACAGTATCATAAAGCTACCTCAGATCTGTATCTGACTGTAATCAGCATGTTGCCGCAACTACATTAGTTCCTGAGTCTGTAATACATGTACCTAAACATTTTAAGAAGAAGAAGAAGAAGAAGAGATTGGATTTATACCCTGCCCTTCCCTCTGAGTCTCAGAGTAGCTTAGAAACTCCTTTCCCTTCCCCTCCCACAACAGACACCCTGTGAGGTAGGTGGGGCTGAGAGAGCTCTTTTCAAGAACTGCCCTTTCAAGGACAGCTCTTGTCAGAACTATGGCTTCCCCAAGGTCATCCGCAGCTGCAAGTGGAGGAGTGGGGAATCAAACCCAGTTCTGCCAGATTAGAGTCTGCACACTTAACCACTGCACCAAACTGGCTCTCTACGGCCCTGTTCATACGAGCCGTTTGGGCCAGGAGAAGGACGGATCTGGGCCGGAGCAAACGGGCGCGATCCCACAGCAACATCTGGGGAACGTCGTGCTACCGTCTCCGATCCATCCCATCCCGCCCATACAGCGCACCAAAAACCAACCACCTACCTGGGTGGTTCTTTCGATTGGGCCGCGGCAAGTGCGGCCGTGGGATTGCCGGCGTGTCCTTGCGCCGGCGCATCCCCGGCTCCTGGCCAAACTGCACATGTGTGAACATGCGCAGTTCACCAGGCTCCCCTTTCCACCGTCGCATTCTCCCCGGCATCTGATCGTGCCGGGGAGCGACGGCGCCACGGTACGGGGGATCCGTGAGATCTCGCCGCGGCGTCTCAACTGTGATGCGGCTCAGATTAGCCGCAGTTCGGCCGTCCTTTTCCCTGCCATGTGGCAGGGACCTACAATGCTTTCAAATGATCCTTTACTGACTAACAAGAGTCTTTTTAGTCTAGATTTTGACCCACTTTGTGGACAAAAATGCACCTTACTCACTCTTTTAGAGCACTTATACCAGAATGACATAATGTGACTCTGTTGAGTCTTGGATCTTTCAGTGGCTTCTAATAACATAATCTGTGATATCCTTCATGAACCAAACACTCCAAGACAGTAATGAATCCTGTGATATGTCAGCAGAAGGCACCCAGGATCACCTATCTTTCTATTTTCTGCTATTTCTGACCCTGGGAAAGCTTATTCTTGGAGTTGTAGGACCCACATGGACCCTCTTGTATGGGTGAAGCTCCACTGACAGAAGAGGTAGAAACTGCACACAGAAGAGGAAGAAGGTAGCAACTATATACACATACCCCTTTCACTGCAGCCTTCTAACTTGTGTGGCTATTACTCCATGCAGGACCTGTTATTCCAAGAGTTTACTCCTGGGCAATAAATGGCTGCTGGAGAGAGAGGAAAACCCAGAAGACTGTTGATCTTGGGTAATCCTCTCAGAATTCTTGCACCAGATCCAACCCAAGGATTGCTTCCAAATTTCACGACTAAATACTTTTTTCAGAATGAGCTGTTCTGATCTGCCTGACTGCAGCCACAGAACAGAATGTTTCAGCAGTTTGCTTTTTAAAAGTTGAAGTGATAGGTATTGGTTTGATTGGTTAAGGAATTCATAGCCTGAATTCTGTTTCAGTAATTAATTGCCTCTTTGTGCTTTTTACATGTGGCAAATGCTATTGCAACGTAAATCACCCTACTTGGCTGCTGTAACATCCAATAACATTGTTTATCTTGAACATCTTTAGAGATGTTCTCCTGTTTCCTCATGTGTTCTCCTGTTTCCTCATATTCCCAGTCTTAAATGTTTCTTTCATGCCTACAATGTGTTAGGGTACAAATGATTATGCTGCCCCCATCTATGTTCTACAAATAAATTATTAAGGATAAATACATTTTCATAAGTATTACTATACACAGAAAAGCTGAACTGTATTTTTTAAATGTACTTCACACAATTAAATACAATTTAAATATTGTTGTTGTATAAATTCAAGATTTTCTCTAGGAAAGTAAAAATGATTTTAGAGTAACAACCTGATCCTACGTAGTCAGAATAAGTTAAATGAGGTCAATCGTCTGTACTTCAAAGTAAATATGAATAGGAGATATACTACTCTAATACAATGAGATAGGTGGGAAATTGTATGACAGGAAAAACCCTATGACGTACATCCTCCAGGAAATTCATCACAATTTGGTGGCAGTATGGATAAGATAGGAAAAAGAGGGAGGAGGAGATTGGATTTATACCCCTCCCTTCACTCAGAGTCTCAGAGTGGCTTACAATCTCCTTCCCTTCCTCTCCCCACAACAAACACCCTGTGAGGTAGGTGGGGCTGAGAGAGCTCTTTAGGAACTGGTCTTGAGAGAACAGCTCTGAGAAAATTGTGACTGACCCAAGGTCATCCAATTGGCCGCATGTCAAACCCAGTTTTCCAGATTAGAGTCCACTGCTCCTAACCACTACACCAGTCTGGCTTTGGAGGGTTTTAAGCAATTTCTGAGGAAAATTTTGTTGTTGTTCTTTTATGAGAAAGCAACAAAAGAGGCTCCTGAGGGAAGATTTTGTTTTTTGTGAAGGAACAAAATAAGAAAGGGTGTACATATTTTTAAGTAAGACCAAAGGAAAAAAAACTCCTCCACTAATTGAAGGGTTTTTTGTTTTTACTGTCAAGTCATAGCTGACTTACGGCAACCCCTCACAATGTTTTGAAGTCAAGCCATGTGCAGGGGTGGTTTGACATTGCCTGCCACTGTGCTGCCACCTTGGACTTCCTTGGTGGTCTCCCATCTGAGTACAAACCAAGGCCAACTCTGCTTAGCTTCCAGGATCTGACAAGGTCAGGGCTTCTACCCCCCCCCCCCCGGAAATCCACTTATATAACCATGAACATGTAGGCTTAGTTCTCATAGCCCCCCTCCCCCAAATGTAGGGGACAAATCTTACAAATCTTACAAATCAGGTCTCTTTTCATATGAACCTCCATGTGGACTGCCCAGTGCTCACTATGCTTATAAACAAGGGGAAGCATACATTCTCCCTCCAGCATGCAATAATGATGAGGGACTGAACCAGCTTCTCTTTTACACTCTCCTAGGAGTAATTTATTTTATTTATTTATTTATTATTAAATTTATATCCTGCCCTCCCCCGTAGGGCTCAGGGCGGCTTACATGGCAAGAAATCCTGCTGATAAAACATCAAATAATTTAGTAACATTTAAAAACATAATATACAATTTAAGACCCTCACAAACATTAAAGTGCTCAAACTACAATTCCTCCGTTCCGGAATCTCAGAGAGGACAACCACATCCACAACCAGACATCCCCGGTAGGCATTCCATAATTGATGTTACAACAGCTGTTTCTTCTTGCCCTCCTAGGGCCCCTCCCCCCCAATGATGGTATGTAACCGGGGGGGGGGCGTATGTAACCGGGGGGGGGAGTAAACTCTATTGAATAAAAGGGAACCTCTTAACACACTTGCTTAGGATTGCTCCCACAGACTCACAACTATACATGCAGCAAAGAGACAGAATCATTTGGAACTATTAGCAACACATTAAGTGCAAGGAGCTTTAAAATGCTTCTTTTAACAAAACTAATAATGGCCCCTGTCACACGGGCAGGAAACTGCAGAGGAGAAGTGTGGCTGTTTACCCCGGGGCAAACTAACATGCAGTAAAGCGATCAGACCTACTGTGGAGGTTCTGTGGAGGTACTGTGGAGGTTCCATGGCAAGGGAGAGGTGCCGATCACAACACACGCCTGCGCGCAATGAAGAAGCGTGTGGCGCGGCGAACTGGTTTTCTTTTTTTGTGTACACTACGAATGTGCATGCTCCGTTGGGTGCGTGTGCGCATCCACGGAGACGTGGGGGGAAAAAAACCCTTTTCCGCAAGGGGACATGGGCGGGCGCCGGATACCACCGGAAACGCGATCAGACGCCCACCCTTGCCCCGCAGTTTCTGGAAACTAGTACCTCCAAGGTACTAGTTTTTTGCTGCGCTGTTTCGGCAGGAAGCCTCAGTTGTGCCACGGAAGCGCTACGCTTCCCAGATGTGCTGGTGAGATCGCGACCGGAAACTCCGCTTGTCTTCCGTATCTCTTGCGTGGCTAATGTTGCGTGTGACCGCAGCCAATCTTCTTTTTAAAAAACTCCATCTCAATTTCATTCATATTCCAAACAACAGATCATACTGCTGACTAGAAGACATTGAGAATGAACATCATTCTTCTTCCTTGTCTATTACTTAGCACAGCACACAGTTTTCTGATTTCTGATTTACATTGGTGCAGTAAAAATCCTTTTCTAACATACAGAATGTAATAGCAAAAACTTTAGTATCCTAAGCAACAGTGCTTGTTAAACAGTGTTAATAAGATGGCAGAACGTTCATCCTTCAATCAATTTTCAGCATTTCATCATCTTGTGAGTCTGACATATACAAACAACATTTGGAACTCTAATCAATTGGAAGCAGAGGAGCATTCATCCAGTGCTAGCACATGCTAAAGCATACCACTTTAATGTGCAAGAACTGCACACAACCGCCTATCTCTTCCCTTCTTCTTTCAGCATCAAAGCACACAAAGAAACTAGCACAGAGACATATAAATCAAATCTATTCCATAGCACTCATATTCACATGTACTTATGTTGAAAAGTTTATAGAATTAATTCATATAATAGAGGAACTGATAGCTATCAATCAGTGTACTTTGATGCAGAAACCTGTACAGCAACCTCTCTAGGGGTGCCTGTCGATTCTCCCTGTCCATACAGTTTGGAGAAAAGGGCAATGGTATCATGGAAGGGAATCATCCAGTCTATAAGTGGCTTAACCATGGAGCCCATGGCTGTCTCTAGTCTTTGAAGCAGAGCAGTCTGAGACAGTGAGTGGCCAATGGTCCCCCAAAGAGATTCATGACCAAGTGAAAATTTGAATCTGGTTTTCCCTTGTTTCAGCCTAGGGTTACATCCTATTGACTCTCTGGAAGATAAGTGGAATGTCCTTTTTCCTGTCCTTCCAGGACATGTGCAAAAGCACTGTTTAAATAACATCTGACCTTTTTTTAACTTTCTTGTACTGAAACAGGGCAGTCTGTTTCTTTTGTATTTTGAAATTCAAAATGTGAATTTGTCTGCTTGTTTTATTTTTTTTCTTTCCAAACTGAACTACAGAAGAGAAGTGGGAAATGATTTTTTAAAATAAATAAATAGCCAAAGATTAGAATGAGAACATCTTGGTCTCCATGATAAATCAAAGGATGTATATAAATTTTTGCACAGATGCCTAGCATCTGTGATAATACACATGACGAAACATCTCCCAATAGACTACTTTTCACTGGGATTTATGTGTTCCTTCTCACACATTACACAAGGAATTAGCACAACCACCATTCGTCCCTCCAGTACTTTTCCTTATCTGTTTTCATCATCTTTCCTGCATCTGGCAGTAAAACTTAATTAGTGGATTCTAGCCTTAGAAACTCCCTATACAAATCAAATTCCAAAACATTTTAAATAGCTGACATGGCAATCTGGCCCCAATTAAATTGAATGATCAAGGATTCTTGGAATACACTTGTAAAATTTTGAATTAACTGTTACACTGAGCCAAACTAGGTACAGATAGCTCTTAGTACTTTCAAAAGAACACACAGGCACTGCACTGACCTGACTCTCCATGACTGACTTCCCCATAGCACTATTCCACCTTGCTGTAGTATTTCTGTGCCTAGTACTACTACATGGTGTGACTGAATGCATTGGTCTCACCTTGTTGGTCTTCACTGTTGAAGACCTACATGATCTCACCTATGTAAGTAGGGATTTATATATGCATTACATCTGTGTGTGGTAGCAGAACAAGGAAGAGGCTTAAATATATACAACTGTATTACACCCAGGGCTCTTTTTGTAGCAGGAACTCCTTTGCATATTAGGCGACACACCCATAATGTAGCCAATCCTCCAAGAGCTTACAGAGCTCTTCTTACAAGGGCTACTGTAAGATCTTGGAGGATTGGCTACATTAGGGGTGTGTAACCAGGGCTATTTTTGGGCAGGAACGCACAGGAACGGAGTTCCGGCTGGCTCCCAAGTTGGCCACGCCCAGCAGGAACTCATTAGCATAATAGGCCACACCCAACAGCAGGAACTCATTAGGATTGGCTACATTAGGGGTGTGTGGCCTAACATGCAAAGGAGTTCCTGCTACAAAAAAGGCCCTGGGTTTTGACAACAAACAAGGTAAACAGAATAACAAGCAAAAGGTGGGTGTGGTTGGATAACCACACTTCTGGTAACATGGGGGTGCAGCCTAATGTGCTAATGAGCTGTGCTGGCAGGGGTGTGGCCCAATATGCTAATGAGTTCCTGCTGTTGGGTGTGGCCTATTATGCTAATGAGTTCCTGCTGGGCTTTTTCTACAAAAAGAGCCCAATAGGCAAAAGAGTTTCTGCTACAAAAAGAGCCCTGATACATCACTGGGCCATCTCAATATTGTTTACTTAAACTGGTGGCAATTCTCCAGGGTCTCAGGCACAGAGGAGACTTTCCTAACACATGCTACCTGAAATCTTCTACATGCAAGGTAGGTGCTCCATCACTGAGTCATGGCCTCTCCCTTTCCCATCTAGCACACTGGATTGGAAATGACTCTCCAGGGTCATGATAATGGTCCCAAGGGCAATGATATGTCTAAGCTCTGACACCAAAGATCCTGTGTAATTCAAGATAACAGGGATCAAACATGTGACTATCTACATACAAAGCATGTGCTGAACCATCAAGCCACTCCCTGCCTTGCAAGTAACTTTAATAAATTAGAATTACAGTATATAATATGTCCCAAACCAAAACACTAAGTGAATGAAATAATATTTGTGTGCAAGTGTCTGTCTGGTATGAGAAATGTTGCAGAGGAAAACACTGTACTGAGATCCATTAATTTTGCCTTACCCAATGGGAGCTTTAGAAATGATGGCGCTTCCCTGAGGTACTGAACAGTGATGGTAACTTCATCGCCAGCATTTCGCAGTAGATGCACCTGTCAGTGTGACAAATAACAGCTACTTTATACCAAAGAAGAACCAGGCACAGAGAGCAAAATAGTCTACATCAAACAAAAAAACAAAACTCAGCAGCTTTGTCAGGAATCCGATATTCATGTTTATCACCGGAATGAAGAATATCTTGAGGGTCACCAAAATAATAATGATAAAGGCAAGTGTATACACAATTGTCGCAGAGTCTAAAAAATTAAAATTTGAAGGACAACCTATGTTCTCATATGGCAAGGGTGGAGATAAAAATCCCTGATATGCTTCCAAGACATTTCTTTTAACACAGCTGGAGCAAGCATTTTAAACTCCTGTGTATTTTATTGGGAAAACATTAAGCAAATACTGGTATTCTGCATAAGTTGATGGGAGTTCAAATGTTTATCTGTGGCTACATTGTGCCCATATTTTTGTCAAGTGATTTTTTGAAGTTTTGTAGTCTGGATTTTTGGCTATAATCAGCTCCCTGTGAATTATTGGACATGCCAACAGGGTGTATAGAAAGACTGTGCCATGTGCCACAATGTCAACAGCAAGACAGAAAGGATTTCATGCATTTTTCTTATCATATTTTAGATTAGATTGCACACAGGCATTTGTGATAACAATGAAAACTTGGTACCATTGCATATAACCAGCAAAAAAACTTACAATCCTTATTTAAAAGCCTAATTATTATTAACTAGCAACAGTACAAATGTCCCGTAAAATTCCAAAATAATAAAATCAAACAATAGCCACAAATATATATAATATATATATATAATAATAAACAGCAGTATATAATAATGCAAGCAAAAAAAATGGGTCCAAATGTACAGTAGTATTTAGAAGAGGAGAAAGGTCCTTTGAACAAGGATGCCTTCATGTGGCCACATACAGGTCATAACAGTGATCTAAACTGTAGCATAGCAATGCAAGGGTACAATGGCCAAAATGTTGTGGAAGAGGAAGAAAGGCCTGCAGTCAGTCCACAGATCAAAGCTGGCAAAATACACTGCTGTCACTTGAACACCAAGTAGTAATAATGCTCAGACTATTAACCTGCCCATTCCAGGGTGTGCACCCCACCCAGAACAGGTGAATCCATTACTCCATCATCTGTAACTTGTCATACTATTAACACTACCATCTTGCCTGCTTGTTTTAATTTACTGGCCCTGTGACATTCCATAAACTTTTCTAAGTACCATGATGTGGACTATTTATGAAATAGCAGAAATAAAGTGGACATTTTTCATTTAATGACTCATTTAATGAGATTATATATATATGCAATTAAATGGTGCATGTCTATGCTCATATTACAAGTTTGTCCTGGCCCAGAAACATAATATTTGGATCCTGTATATCATTGGCACAAGATGTTTTATGGGCAAAAAGGGCTGTAAAGTTTCTCCTACCAGCCTTAGGCACACAGGAGTTAGCAGGCTACAACCAATGAGTCTACCATTTGGGGGCTATCCAGTGTTTTGCACGGAGTGTCACATGTATGACTATCTGCCCACTGGGCAGAAGTCTTGGGTGTGTCCACGGTGCAAGGAGCTCCTGGTTCTCAGGGAACGTGTGTGCTCCCTTGAGGCCAAGGTGGCTGACCTGGAGAAGCAGAGACAGTCAGCTAGGCACACAGAAAAGACTCTCGGGGACTTGTTAGCTACGTCCCACTCTGGATCTGGCAGCCCCGCTGCTGTCAGGGAGCATGAGGGTCTAGGGGAAACAGGGCACCGTGCTGAGGATAAGGGGAATGTGCCCTCAGAAGGGACCTCTTCCCCAGCTGGTGAGCGGGTATCCTTTTGCACCAAGGAACCATCCCTGAGCAGGGTGGGAGGGGGGCTCTTGGTAGTGGGTGATTCGATCCTTAGGCAGGTAGACAGCTGGGTGGCGAACCCGCGTACTGACCGTATGGTGACTTGCCTGCCTGGTGCGAAGGTAGCGGACATTACGCGTGTTTTAGATAGGCTGGTAGATAGTGCTGGGGAGGAGCCAGTGGTCGTGGTGCATGTCGGCACCAACGATGTGGGGAAATGCAGTCGTGAGGTCCTGGAGGAGAAATTTAGGCTGCTGGGCAGGAAACTTAGGTCCAGGACCTCCAAGGTAGCCTTCTCAGAAGTGTTACCTGTTCCACGCGCAGGGCCGGAGAGACAGGCAGAGATCAGGAGTCTCAATGCGTGGATGAGACGATGGTGTAGGGGGGAAGGGTTCAGGTTTGTTAGGCACTGGGATACTTTTTGGAACAAGAGGGAGCTGTACAGGCGAGACGGTCTCCACTTGTCCCGAGAAGGAACCAGGCTGCTGGCACTTAAAATCAAAAAGGTGGCAGAGCAGCTTTTAAACTGAATATTGGGGGAAAGCCGACAGGAGATGAAAAGTCTCTGGTTCGGGTTGGCTCATCTGAGAGAGGTGAGGGGGTACCGGTTGCTTTTCTACAGGGAGGTGGATTGAAATTGTCCACAGAGGCCATGGCTGGTGACATGGACTGCCGGACAACGACTCGAGATAGCAAGAGGAAGGATGCAGGCTTAACTTGTAAGGGAAATTACAGCTGTTTCTATACAAATGCTAGAAGTGTCCGAGGTAAAATCGGGGAGTTGGAGTGCTTGGTGTCGGAGGGAAAAATAGACATTGTGGGTATTTCTGAAACTTGGTGGGATGAGGAAAATCAGTGGGACACAGTGATTCCCGGTTATATATTATATCGGAAGGATAGGGGGGGAAGGGTTGGAGGTGGGGTAGCTCTGTATGTCAGAGAGGGTATAAAGTCTAGAAAGATTGAGAGGCTAAGTGAATTGGATTCGCTTCTGGAAGTTCTATGGGTTGAAATAGGGGGGCCAAAAGGAAACTTAACACTGGGAGTTTGTTATCGCCCACCAGATCAAAAGATAGAGGAGGATTATAAAATGATGAATGCCTTAAAGATAGCAACTAGACAAAAACACTGTGTAATAATAGGTGATTTTAACTACCCACACATTGATTGGGTCAATATGTGTTCTAGTCGGGAAAAAGAGATTGAGTTTCTAGACACTCTAAATGACTGTGCTATGGAGCAGATGGTCACGGAACCTACCAGGGGAGAGGCGATCCTTGATTTGGTCCTAAGTAACACTCAAGACCTGGTGAGAGATGTAAAAGTGATTGCACCGCTTGGAAACAGTGATCATAATGTTGTTGAGTTCATCATTTGTACAAATAGAGAATTGGCCAAAAAGACTCACACAACCATTTTTAACTTTAAAAGGGGTAATTTCTCTGATATGAGGGGACACGTGGGGAGGAAACTGAAAGGAAAAGTAGAAAGGGTCAAAACAATTGGGGAAGCTTGGGATCTATTTAAAACTACGATCCTAGAAGCTCAAAAAATATATATTCCGCAGGTTAGGAAAGGCACAAACAGGTATAGGAAAAAGCCTGCATGGTTAACAAACAGAGTAATGGAGGCTGTAAAAAGTAAAAAGAATTCCTTTAAGCAGTGGAAAGCTAGTCACAGTGAGGCTGATAAAACGGAACACAGGCTATGGCAAATAAAATGCAAGTCTGAGGTCAGGCAGGCAAAAAGGGAATATGAGGAGCATATAGCAAAAAACGTAAAAACCAACAATAAAACTTTCTTCAAATACATTAGAAACAGGAAACCAGCCAGGGAGGCAGTGGGGCCCTTGGACGACCAAGGGGTAAAAGGAGTATTGAAGGATGATAGGGAAATGGCTGAGAAGCTAAATGCATTTTTTGCCTCCGTCTTCACTGTGGAAGATGAGAAGTGCTTGCCCACTCCAGAACCACTGATTTCAGGAGGGGTGTTGGAAGACCTGAGTCAGATTGAGGTGATGAGAGAGGAGGTCCTAAAACTGATAGACAACTTAAAAACTGAAAAATCACCAGGCCCAGATGGCATACATCCGAGAGTTCTGAAAGAACTCAAATGTGAACTTGTAGATCTCCTGACAAAGATATGTAATCTTTCCTTAAAATCTGCCTCCATTCCTGAGGATTGGAAGGTAGCTAATGTCACTCCCATCTTTAAAAAGGGTTCCAGAGGAGATCCGGGAAATTACAGGCCAGTCAGTCTGACGTCGATACCGGGTAAATTGGTGGAAACCATTATTAAGGAAAGAATTAGTAGGCACATAGATGAACAAAACCTATTGAGGCAGACTCAGCACGGTTTCTGTAAGGGAAGATCTTGTCTCACTAACCTGTTAGTGTTCTTTGAGGGGGTGAACAAACATGTGGACAAGGGGGATCCAATAGATATTATTTACCTTGACTTCCAGAAAGCTTTTGATAAAGTTCCTCATCAAAGGCTCCTAAGTAAGCTCAAAAATCATGGGATAGAAGGACAAGTCCTTTTATGGATCAAAAACTGGCTAGTTCATAGAAAACAGAGAGTGAGTGTAGGTGGGCAATTTTCTCAGTGGAGGGTGGTAAGCAGTGGGGTACCGCAGGGATCAGTACTTGGTCCACTGCTTTTTAACTTGTTCATTAATGATTTGGAGATGGGAGTAAGCAGTGAAGTGGCTAAATTTGCGGATGATACAAAGTTGTTCAGGGTGGTGAAAACCAGTGAGGATTGTGAGGCACTCCAAGGGGATCTGTCAAGGATGGGCGAGTGGGCGTCAACATGGCAAATGGGGTTCAATGTGGCCAAGTGCAAGGTGATGCACATTGGAGCCAAAAATCCTAAATATAAATACACATTGATGGGGTCTGAACTGGCAGAGACTGATCAAGAGAGAGATCTTGGAGTTGTAGTGGATAACTCACTGAAAATGTCGAGACAGTGTGTGACTGCAATAAAGAAGGCCAATGCTATGCTGGGGATTATTAGGAAGGGTATTGAAAACAGATCAGCCAATATAATAATGCCCCTATATAAATCAATGGTGAGACCTCATTTGGAATACTGTGTGCAGTTCTGGGCACCACACCTTAAAAAGGATATTATAGCTTTGGAAAAAGTGCAGAAAAGGGCAACTCGAATGATAAAAGG